GAAGTATCGGAGACAGCATGGGGTTTTGCTTTGTTTTTAAATTCTTGAAGCTAACTTGGCTCATGCTGGGATTGAACAGTTGTTGTTTCTTTAGCACTCACCATCCCATGCCATGATGAATAGGAGGATTATTACATCTGATAGGGAGAAAGGTTCTTTAAATAAAGAAACAAGCATCTAAAAGAAAATGCTCTCAATTAGTGTTTCTTAAACTGGGGAGTTGACGATCTTGCAGGTGGTCTGTGGACTCATCTGCTACAGAAATAATTGTTTATAATATGATGATGATGGCACTCCACATACATTTGTTTTTTACTTACAGTTTTACCCTTGTTGGCAAAACAGTACAATTAATCTAAGTCAGTGCCGGCGAGTTGTGTGTAGGTTTGGGTTTGTCTATTTTTATAAAATTAAGTACATAGAAGTTTATGGGGAAAGTAGACCATGAATCAAAACAGACCAGCAAGTCCTATCTGAAGGACCTCTCTGGGACTTTACTGGCCCTAAAATTTTCATTCTTAACAAATATTTATTGAGCAGCAACTATGAGGAGGCTGGCTGCAAGGGAGGATGGAGATAAATGGTTGGACCCCACTCTGTGTAAGTGCGAAGATACAAATGCGTGTAATGGTAGACCAGTGTGGTAAGAACAGGGATCGGGGTAGATCTTGGCAGTTTGCTGTGTCTCTGCATTCCATTCTCACCACTCACCTTCCACTGTGTGGACCTTGGGCATGTTGCAGCTGTGAAATGGTACTTCGTTCGCATGCAGAGCGATCGTGAGGGTTGGAGGAGATACCAAAGCCCAGTGCCAGGGCCCCAATCACTAGTGTTGTCATTGTGTTCTGGAAAGTTGCCTTGTCTGTTCATCCTCAGCTGCCATCTGACCACGGCCAATTCCATGAAAGTGGCAAGTCCAGAGTGCAGCCACCTGCTGCTGAGCATGGGTGTGAAAATCAAGTCGTGCGTGTTTGTGTTTGTTTTCCTTTTTAGCAGGAGTGGTTGAAGATCCCTGTGTGGGGGCGGACTGTCCCAACCGGACCTGTGAGCTGGAAAACGGAGGAGAGCTGTGTGGCTGCGTGGAGCCGCCCCCCTACGGTAACAGTGAGTGACACCTGCTGCCTCCCCACCCAGACTGGGCCTGATGCGGAGGCCTGGCGGCCGCGCAGAAAAACTCCAGGGGTGGAGCCCATGCAGCTGCCCTAGTTAGAGACCCACCCCGTGAAGCTTTCATGAGTGTTGAAGCAGAACGAGGAAGCAATCTGACTTCTTCAAAGTAGGCTAATGTTCGCTTCCTCGTAGCTACAGCCTTTTCTTCAATAAATGATAACACCTAAATTTGTACATGAATAGAATCAGCCAGTTCCATCTGAGGCCCCATTCAACATCAGAGAGATCCAAATTGATGTTTTAGTCTCACAGGGAAGTCAGGCAGTTTGACGCAAACACGAAACCCTCAGAGCGAGAGTGCCAGGTGCTTTAAGACTGGTTGAAAGCCAGATTAATTGGTCCTAAAGAAGAGACTGCGGGGTTTGAAGCAAACAGTAAACACCTAGGACCCCGTGTCCCACTCCTAACCTCAGTGCCCATAAGGTAGGAAAGGCCTTGTCCCCACCGGGTGCACCCATGATGTCGGCCTGAAGGGGGTGCTGCTTTGTCCCCCCCCCCCCCGCCCCAGCCCCGTGCCCTTGCTGGAACCAAATAACTCAGAAGGCATGTGCTAAATTGTAGAATCCTACTTGACTGAAAGATTCCCTAGGAGGGCTGCTGTTCAAGGGCTTCACCTGAGCAGATAAAATCCTTCTCTCTGTTTCTCTAGTGCTCGTTAGCTTGTGTTTATGTACTCCTAGAAAATGTCAATTGGCCTAATAGTGTCAAAAATCTCCTAGTGGGGGCTCCAGGAGTGGCCTGCGCGGAGCTGCTCTCACCCTGGGGCACGTCTTTTAGCCTCTCCAGGATAAGCCAGATGCGGTACACAGCTTAGGGGAAAGTAGCTCCAACCAAAGTAGGGCAAGGTCCTAGGTTTGTGAAGAAAAGACAAAACACACTTTACTAGCATGTTAATCTTTTTTAAAAAGCTTAACAACATCCCGGTTATTGCTTTGAATAACTTCATGTACTCTTTTGGTTAGATCAAAGCTTAATTAGAAACGCCCAGCCTTTGTGTGAAGATCATTAGCCTCTTCTCAAGGATCTAGTCATGGGACACCTCACCCCCACTCCTGCAGCGCCACCAGCTCCCCCTGACTTGCCTTCCATACTAACTGTTCCCTGCAGACTCCCATGACATCATTGATGCAGAGGTGACCTGCAAGGCGGCCCAGATGGAAGTGTCCATATCGAAGTGCAGACTCTTTCAGCTCGGCTTTGAGAGGGAGGGTGTGAGGATCAATGACAGACAGTGTTCCCACATCGAGGGGGAAGATTTCATCTCCTTTCAGATCAACAACACCAAAGGGAATTGTGGCAACATCGTGCAGGTGAGAACCTGGGGCCGGAAAGGACATCCGGCTGAGGTAGTGATAGCCCCGAGGGTTTGCACGTTGGGTATCTTTAAAGCCAACTTCAGGGTGGTTTACTTAGAAATATCCTCCGTGGAAAACAACACAAGACATATCCGACATGAAAGACTTCAAGGAGAGAAGAATCATCGGGTGCTGAGTGGTTAATTGAACTGAAAGATCAGGATAAGTGACAGGCTCCTGTCCTCGGTTTGCACTGTCCGCTGTCATCCTTTGCCCTCCATGTTGACAAATTTTTGTTACCTTGTTCATGCTTCTCTTGTTCTTCCAGGTAAAGGAAGCGTTTTTGGGGGGAAGGGTGTCCCAGACACCATGTAACAGTTGGCTGCAGAAATACATCAAGGTCCCAACTTTTCATGTCAGATTATCCAATGTATAGGTTGGCAAAGCATCTTGCTTCTTATCCTCCCGTTACTCTTCTTATCCTTCTTATCCTCCTGTTCCTTCCTATAAAATATATATGTATGTATATGTATATATATTATATACATATATAACCATGTTCATTAGCACTTTATCAGGGAATGAAAGGAGTGAGCAGGTGCAACTTGCCTTTGTTCATTGTGGTCCTTGTGGGAAAGTCTGGTAGAAGATTTGGTGCAGGAGAGATTTTGGATTAGGACTTGAAAAAGAAGATTTATATTACCCTGGGATGGCAATCTTCATGCTGTCCCCAGCTTGGGTTCCCACAGATAACTAGGGCTGGTTGTAGTTAGAATTCAGGGTACATGGATTCAGCCTCCGTGGACACTCAAGGTTACCAGACTGAAGGGTGCTGTTGACATCTATTGCAATACTTCCGTTATTATTGTTAGTAAATGCTGAAGCTAGCTCCATCCTGACTTATACCAGCCTCTGGGTTATGTATGGAATGAAGCCATTTCTCCACTTTCAGGGCTGTGGATTTGAAATGCAAGCCACATACTCCCACATTTAATGATTTCTGACCTTCCTTTGCTCTGCAGTCCAATGGCACTCATATCGTGTATAAAAACACAGTCTGGATAGAAAGTGCCAACAATACGGGCAACATCATCACTAGGGACCGGACGATCAATGTGGAATTTTCGTGTGCTTATGAGCTGGATATCAAGATCTCTTTAGATTCTGTTGTGAAGCCTATGCTAAGGTAAAGAATCTCATGGGCTGTGTGCGTTGCTTTGTCTTTTCCTTGACAGTCAAGGTTAGCATAATCAAAATTGCTTGCTAGCATTTGTCTTTGAAACACTAGGGAAGAAACAGTTCATATTTTCTGCACCTAAATGCCTCAGACCAGCACTGTGCAATAGAACTTTCTACAATGATGGAAATGTACTGTCTTACTATCCAATACAATAGCTGTATGTCAAAATTGAGCAATTGAAATGTGGTTAGGGGTGCTGAGGAATTGATTTTTTTTAATTTTATTTAATTTTCATTTTAATTGCCACATGTGGCTTGCCATTTTGGGTACCATTTTGGACTTACGCTTTGCTATCATCTGCTTTGCCTTCCCTCTGCGTTTTCGGCTTGAAAATGGTAGCAACTGAATACATATAATTGTTTGGGGTCCCTTGCCTCATGATTGTTTCCCTTTTAGTGTCATTAACCTCACAGTTCCAACCCAAGAAGGCACCTTCACCACCAAGATGGCGCTCTACAAAAATGCTTCCTACAAACATCCTTACCGCCAGGGTGAGGTGGTGTTGACAACTCGAGATGTGCTGTACGTAGGGGTCTTTGTGGTTGGAGCCGACTCCACACACTTGCTCCTGACACTGAACAAATGCTATGCTACCCCCTCCCGCGACAGCAATGACAAACTCCGATATTTCATCATTGAAGGAGGGTGAGTGGCCTCTTATCAGAGGACAGCCTCAGAGCCTTTCAGATAAATACTGGTCCACGTCAGGTTTTAGAGAAGAGAGTGGGAGCTAATGTTGTATTGTGCATCCATGAACCAGAATGCTCTTAACAGCCTGTGAGGTACACATTGGATGAGCAATGAGCAGGCTGAGGCTCAGGGAGGCCAAGCAACTTGCTTAAAGTCACAGAGCAACTTAGTAGCAGATCCCCGAGTCCTTGTGGCATTAACTACAAAATGCTTTGTTTGCAATGTGATCCAAGAGGGGATTGTGTCCTGCCAACTTCGAGTTTCAGCTTGAGAGAAATGTGGATCACCTGCACAAAAGCGTATCGTGAGAAGGAATGGTTGGTGAACAGGACACCTGTCAAAATTTGAAAAGAACTAGAATAATAGAACAGAATAAGAGAGTAAGTGGAAGAAACTACAATAGCCTATAAAATCAAGGAGTTTCTTCTTATTCACTGCTAAATGCCTGGCACCTACTATGTTTCCTGAAACGCGGTGGATATATAACAAAATTTACAGAAGGAATGAATCAGAAGAAAAGACTATAGACCAAACCACAATAATGAGAATTATTTTTATTTTTTAAAAACTGGTTATGTCAAGTAACAGTAGTTCTGGCCAGCTGTGAAAATTAAACAAAGACAGACTAACAGGAGAAAAGCATACACATTTATTTAATATGGGTTTTAGGTGACACAGAAGCCTCCATAAGGAAATGAGGAGAAAGGAAGTGGTCGAACCTGAGAACTTTCTGCTAGGTTAGACCAAGAAGGGACCATGGAGAAGTATGAGAGGTCAAAGGGTATGTGGTAAGTGTAGTAAACTGGGGGAAGCTTAGCAGAGCCTCTTGGTTAGGATTCTTCCTGATGTCCCTCTGTCTTTGGAGGTAAGGATGCTTCTTTTGTGAAGGAGGGAGGGCCCCTGGCACCTGAGGGCTTTTTGACCTGTTTCAGGAGAGTGGAGTCAGGGGAAGGTCACCGTGACCTTTCTGCCTCTGCTGTTTTCTCAAACTCCTTCACCTTAAAATACTCAGTATGCCAAGGGGCCCGATTTTGGGGGGTACCGTGTCCTGACCCCCATGACTAGCCTGGACCGACACACCCACCCTGAGGTGGTCAGGGAGCTCTGTGGATACTACAATTAGCTTCAAGGTTGAAAAGGAATAGTTTCTCAGAAGAAGGTATGGTTCTGGGCAAACTGAATATCCATGGCTTTGCAGAGAAGTTAGGTACACAGTTCACCCAGGGTGACTCAATTAGCCAGCGGCAGAGAGGAACCCTTTCAAGTATCATGACACACAGCCTCCCTAACCGGCTGGACAGGACTTGTGTCACGGGGTGTGGAGGCTTTTGACTTCCTGAGCTGGTTCTTGGGCTTTTCAGAGGCAAAGGGAAGGATGTGGTGACTCCTCGGTGGCTCGCAGCCTGGATGCCTCTCCTTCCCATCGAAGTCCTTTCCTAAAGTGAAAGAGCTCAGATCTGAGCCCCTGTACAGACACCAGCCCGGTTGGAGGGCCTGTGTCTCCTTTGGAGGACGCAGTGGCATTTAGGAGTTTTTAAATAGTGCTTGATAGACTTGACCCAGAGAGGAGAGTGAGTGAGTGAGTGCGCGTGTTCATAAATCGCAGCCTCCCCCGGGTCTGAACAAAGGCCTTCCAGATGAAACTGTTGTTTGCTTTCATCCTATGGGGGAATTTTAATTCATGAGTCCTTCTGACCTTTCTCGGAGGACTGTGGTTATTGTGCTCCCAGTGAACTTGTCCAGTGGGAAAACTGATGCACGGTGACGAACGTGTGAGCAGCAAAATGGGTTCACTTCAGAATTGTGGGGGGTCAGCTCGGTGGAGAGCAGCAATGATACCACCATCTCCCAGTGACTCAGAAGTCCCACCATGCCCGTCGCTGTTGTCTCCTCTTCGTGCACCTGGACAGAGGAAAGGACAGTTATTCCTCTGATGGTGGACAAAGGGTTCTAGTGCTTGGCCTGTGTGCTCACACGGAGGCAGGCATCCACAGAGCCTGTCGCTCCTTTCCCAACCCCTTCCTTCTGCTCCATGAGTTTCCGGTACCTGAATATCAAGTCATCGGTCTGGGAGGGGGTGGTCTGGTTAAGAGGGAAGGCCTGTGTGAAGATTGGAGAGTTGTGAGCATTTTAGAAACTTTGAACCCACTTAGATTATTCAAATGAATAACAGTGACAAGGAAAAGTACGGCAAGTAAGCTTTAACTTCAAAACATTTAAGAAACGATCGCCTTGAAGAATAATTGCAAAACCTAATAGGTGTGGGGATGCTGGAGGATAACTCCGGTTTTTAATTTTCCTTATCACTAAGCTATTTAATCCTGTGGGTACGGGAAGGAAAGATTTAAAAAAAAAAAGTCACTCTTCATCATTTTTAGATAACTTCTCAGCCCCTATAGGCCAACCTTGGCCATGGTGGCGCAGTTCATGCGTTCACTCATGCATTCATCCACAAAGATATTTAGATCCGTCCTATAGACCCTACAGTGTGTTCGAGACCCAGTGAGGGCGACATCCGGGTTCTTGCGCTCCGGGAATCCAGAAAAGGCCACCTGTTCCCGCCTGGTCAGGTCTGTGGTAGGAGCGTGTCTGCTGAGAAGGGGGAGCCACAGACTGGCTCTGGGGAAAGAGCAGGAGTGTGCATGCGTGGAAAGACTTCCAGATTAGGGAAACTTCATACGGAAAGACAGTGGGGCAGAAGGGGCTGTGATGCATTTGGGGAACTCTACGTGTGCCTGAGGGAGGCTGGTGGCTGTCACTGCCCACTGGCCCAATACCACGAGGGGGGGCAGCAGGGGGAGGAGAGGTGGCCGCCTGCCGCACACATCTTAGCTCACCCGGGACTGCTCTGCCTTCTCCAGCTCCCACCTATTTTAACATGGACCAATAAGGTTTTCATCAGTGGACCCCCCCCCCAAACACACACACACTCTGATAATTAACCAGAGAAAGTACAGCCGAGGTGAGGACCGATGGCGTTTGCTGAGTTGGCGTCAGTAAACCAGGGCTCCGTGAGGGGCAGAATGAGAAACCGAAGCTGTGGGGAGACTGGGGGCAGTCCCTGCAGTCATCCTGCTTTTAGTTGCAGTTAGGATACTAATTTGAGGTGTTATTCGATGCTTTTAAAACAAACTACGAAAACAGACGGGAGTGGGAGTAAATGAGAAACCCACACAGTCCAGAGGTCACTCTCAAATGCAAAGACATTCTTACCTATCATGACGGCTTTAGATGAAATAGAAGCCAATGTGTGAAGCAAAGATTCCATTTTCTCCTGAATAGGTGTCAGAACATTAAAGATAACACCATTGGCATCGAGGAGAACGGCGTCTCCCTAACCTGTCGCTTTCACGTCACTGTCTTCAAGTTCATTGGGGATTACGATGAAGTTCATCTTCATTGCGCGGTGTCACTGTGTGATTCCGAAAAGTACTCCTGTAAAATAGTAAGTGAGGGCGTGAAAATGAAATGCATCGCCCTATTTCTCACTGCCCCCGGTTTGCCCAGCACGGGGATCACGATCGCCAGGATCTGGCTGGCTCCTGGGAGTTCTGTGGCTCTCACGGCCCCTGGAAGTGGCTAAGTCGAAATCCTCCCTAGATGCTTAGGAGCGGCAATCCTCTTTGGTCAGACAGGAGAGAGAGAATGCGGTAGAATGATGTCCTCCTCTTCTCTGTCTCTGAAATGTCAGTCTGTCATGGGCATAACACTAGACCAGGGTTTCTCAAACCTCAGCACTATTGACCTTTTGGACCCAATTGTTCTTCGTTGTAGGGACTGTTCTGTGCCTTGTAGGATGTTTAGCAGCATCTCTGGCCTCTACCCACTAGAGGCAAAGAGCACCTCCTCCCTGGTTGTCCCATCCCGAAATGCCTCCCGGCATTGCCAACTGCCCCGGGGGAGGGAGGGGCAAAACTGGCCCTATTTGAGGACCACCACACCCACACCCAAGTCTCAAGGAGCCAGGCCACCTGAATCTGAAGGGGACAGTGGGGGCCAAGCTCCACCGCACAATCGAAGCAAACTCCTGGGTTCAGGGTACTTTATCCAGGAGTTCTTTAGACAGTGACTCTCCTACAGCTCATCCAGATCCACGCCGGGGCCTGAGGCTCCACAGGGGCTCCTGGAGGGGCTGCTGGAATGAGGTGACAAACCAGTCCTCTCTTCCATGCCAGGCTTACATCCCCTCCACAGACTCCAGTGTCCCTAAGATTTTACTGCCCCGGGATCTGCTCCCTAACCTTTAACATTCCAGCTTTGTGCTTCCCTGGCGTTTGCAGAATCAAGCTGTGAATTGTGGTCAAGCCACTTACACATGCGGCTGTCTACCCTGTTGCCGGATGCAATCCAACAGTCCTCATCCTTGGGAAGGGAGCCTCTTTGAATCGAAGTCTTATGTGGAGAATATATTTAATTCTGTTCAACATAAAGCCCAGAGACCCGGTGGGCTCCAGGATCAAGAATGCATTGGTTCTAATTAATCGGAGTAGTGATAGCGCTCGAGGCTGGAACGACTGCCTCTTTTGGAGGTTGGAAACATGGTGAAGAATAAGTTATCAGCTTAATTGTGTGAAATTTTCCCTCTGGTGTTCTGTCTTTCAGACTTGCCCACAAAATTCCAGGATTGCCACAGATTATACCAAAGAACCTAAAGAACAGATCATTTCAGTGGGACCTATTAGGAGAAAAAGTATGTATGTCCCCCCGAAACACGTTATAAATTATTAAAACAGTGGGATTTGAGGGCTCGGACTAACTCTTGGGTGTGTTTCAACTACGACGTGAATCTGGTGGCCGACCAGAGGTGGAGGGACACCCCGATGAAATCTTTACCTTGACTCTGAAAACACCACAGCGGCGCTGGGCTTTTCTTCTTGCTGTCCTCTGTTTTAAAGCGCTGCCCCGAGAGCGGCGTCGAAGATTTGACCTGCCTGCCCTTGTTCTGACGAGCTGCTCTTTTTCAGGGCTGGACTGGTGTGAGCACAACGGAGGGTGTGAGCAGATTTGCACCAGCCGGGTCGATGGGCCCTTGTGCAGCTGTGTCACGGGGACCCTGCAGGCGGATGGCCAGAGCTGTAGAGGTAGATGCACCCCCTGTCCTGGGCAGGCAGCTGGGGGTGCAGGGAGCCCTCTCCCCCGAGGAGGAGACGTTCATTCGTGAAGCCCACTCAGTCAGCAATTGACCTATGAAAATTCCAGAAATTAAGATGGAAAGATGATGGGAATGCCAAGGAATTCTAGCACCATCTTGGAGATACAGATAGAGATATTGATACAGATACAGATATAATGTTTTTAACCTTTGGGTCCCTGTTCTTTTATCTAAAAGATTAAGGTGATTAAAAAAAAAAGTTATCCAACTATTTAAGGACCAAATATTGGCCTTAAATCTGGTCACCAAGTCTACCTGGGCTGTGGTTGGGACTGGGTTGGTTGATCCAACAAACGAGATTTCTTGCAGTTGCCTTAGCACATGGGTTTCCCTGAGGTTAGCGGGACTCTGCTAAAGGTTGAGTTGATTCTGCTTCTTTCCTGCCTCGGTCAGTGCCTTTTGGATAAAGTGAGTTCTTGGCAATGAAGAAAGTGGGCTCATTCATTTAGCTGAGTACCACAGAGTTCTGATTCCTGTCAAAGAGCTATCTTTCTTCATAGGACTTACTATGTTCCTCTCTGTTCACAGCCTCTAATTCTTCCATTGAACTTCAAGTCTGGACGCTGCTTCTCATCATGACCCAGATTTCACTATGGCATTTTGTCTATAAATCAGGCACGACCTCATAATTAACTCAAGGTTGCTATATAAAGTACTGTAATTTACTCACTTCAATTCCCTGTAGGACAAAAGGTGTGTGCCCTTAAGTCAAAGCCTGATTGAAAGTGTCCAGCATCTCAAAGTGATACCACCTGCCTCCAAAAGTCAGAGTCCCAGAAATGTGTGAAATTCCCAGCTCCTGTTTCAAAGTACACAACGGGGCTCCCAAAAGCAGGTATCTTGCCTCAAATGTCCAAACGGTTGTCACTAGAAACTTTGGTTCCCATGAAAAACCAGTAAAGGAAAAAAAACTTCTGGTTAGAGAAGTCTAACCAGGGAAATCTGTCCAATCAGTGCTGTTTCTGGATCATAGTTTTTTTACTGAGAAAGGGCCTGTGGGAACAATATTGAGAAGCAATGACTGGAAGGTTTGACTCTCTCTAAGGAATCTTTATGATGTTTGGAAGAGTCTGATCTACGATATGCATGTGTTGCTCACTCCTGTTTGTGATGAGCTCCTTCCCTACCCTCACGTCCCTCAACCTTGCCATGGCAGCTTGGCCACTTGGGATACTGTTTGCAGACCTGGGGAACCCCACCTCCCATCCCAGACCCAGACCCTTCTCTCTGACAAATCAACCAAATAATTTTTAATGTGTTTTATGCTTAAATAAACTTCATGTTCAAGTACTCTCAGTACTTGGTGACTGGAATCTTTCTTACTGATATTAAGCTTTGCATACTACATAGCATGCTCTGATTTCAAAAAAAGCAGCGGCTGTTGGACCAGGTAGACCCCACTGGCCAGAGCTTGAATGTGTTCTGTCGTGTGTACTTACAGAGAGTTAGCAGGACATGAAGGTGCAGGACAGAAGAGAGGCAGCATCCTCTTTTTATATAGTACGTAAACACGCATTCGCTGTGATTAACTGCAAACCGGAGGCCTGCTAAATATAATCCCTGGACTGCCTCTCTTTTTCAGGTTCAAAACAAAGTAAAACCCACTTCAAGTTTATTTTGAAGTTGTTTTGGATTTAAGCTGATGGTATTTTTGCATTTTTCTGGGAACTCTGTGAAAAGCTGAGCATAAATCCTTGCATGCTTAACCGTGGGTATGGACACGATCGGTGTTGTCTTGCGTGTAATGGGCACCACACCGACTGGCACTGGGCTGAAGAAGTTAGGGTGTAGACTGAGTCTGTGCTGAGGTCCTTTGACTTCCCAGTCATCTGGGAGGGTCAACAAATTCTAGCGTGTCTTGCCAGTTACACATGGTGGCTAAGAGAGTAGCTGGCGGTGTTGGAGAAAAAAGATGTGTCTACTTCAGCTTGAACATTTTGAGATCTGGGCAAATGCTGAGCATTGGGAGGGGTTAAGGAACCCAACTGTCTATTGCAAGTGAGACACAATGCTGCTTCCTCACCAAGAGAGAAATCAATGTTCCGTGCATGTCCTATTTTCGCATGAAAAACCGTCTCGTTGACACAGTTGAAGGTTTAGGTGTTCACAATCAGACAGATTCTGAGTTGAACACAAGACTATCTCATCGATTATTTTACTTGATTTCCTGAAATGAATCTCAACTAAAAACACATAAGGAGGAAGTGTTTTCATATTTAATAACTTCCCTTTATTGATTTTCTTATCGAAGTCATTAGAAAGTTCTAAATAAAAGACTATAGTTTGTTGAGTTTTGGGGTTTTTTTCTTAACTCTTTTAATTAAACCTGTTCTTGCCACACTTTTATTCTTGGCCTTTGGTTTTGTCACTTGGTTGACATCCTTAGCGTGTCTATCATTAGGAGAAGTTAGGTTGTGGTATCATAATAGAACACCCCAGAATCTCAGTGACTTAAACACTAGCTTTCTGGGGCACCTGGGGGGCTCAGATGGTTAAGCGTCTGCCTTCGGCTCAGGTCATGATCCCGGGGTCCTGGGATCGAGCCCCACGTTGGGCTCCCTGCTCAGTGGGGAGTCTGCTTCTCCCTTTCCCTCTGCCACTCCCCCTGCTTGTGTGCACTCTCTCTCTCTCAAATGAATAAGTAAAATCTTTTTTTAAAAAAAACCACTAAGGTTTCTTTCTTGTCTATGCCAGTGGGCTTGGGTCCTGTAAAATGATCATCATGATAAGTCTAGTTAACATCTGTTACCTTACATGGTTACAAATATTTTTCTTGTGATGAGAACTTTTAAGATCTCCTCTCTCACTGACTTTAGAATATGCAACACGGTATTATTAACTATAGTCATTACATCCTCAAGACTTATTTATTTGATAACTGGAAATTTGTACATTTTTGACCCCCTTCACTCATTTTACCCACTGCTCCCCCCCACCTCTGGCAATTCTCCTTATCTATGAACTCTTCTTCTTTTCTCTTTTTCTTAAGAATCCATGTCTAAGTGAGATTATGTGGGATTTGTCTTTCTCTGACTTATTTCACTTAGCATAATGCCCTCCAGGTCCATCCATATTGTCACAAATGGCAGGATTTCCTTCTTTATTTTGTGGCTAAATAATTGTGTGTGTGTGTGAGTGTGTGTATCACCAGTTCTTGATCCATTTGTCCCTCAATGGACTCTAGTTGTTTCCGGAGGTTGGCTATTGTAAGTAACACCGCCGTGAACCTGGGGTGCAGATATCGTCCCAAGTTAGTGTTTTTGTTTCCTTTGCATAATTACCCAGAAGTGGAATTGCTGGATTGTATGCTAGTCCTACTTTTAGTTTTTTGAGGAACCTCCATACTGTTTTCCCTGGCGGCGGCACCAATTTGCATTCCCACCAACTGTGCACCCGGGTTCTCCTTTCTCCACGTCCTTGCCAACACTTGTTACCTCTTGAGACTTCATTATCTAGTGATGCTGCTGGCTCAACACCAGGCTTGGGGGTTCACCTAGGCTAGGGGAGAATCACACCCGGGAAGGGACGCCATATCACTTCTGTTCCCATTTAATTGTCCGAAGCAAGTTGCATGGCTGTAATGAGAGCAGGGAAGAACGAGCTTCCGGTGAGCCCGGAAGGCAGAAGAACTGGAAATCCTGGGGACAGCTGTCATGTGATCTTTGAGTCAATCACTCCTATCTGTATTCAAAGGAAATATTTTTACAGAACTAAAGCCAAACAGGCCCCTTAGCTGACTATTGGGAAGGCAGAACTGGAAGATGATCCTACCCTTCTACTAATTCTCTGCTTGAGACAAATCACTCCACAGCGTGGTACGTAAACTTTCCTTCTGGAAAAGGAGAATATTAAGCTTCTTTTCAAATATTCTTATGTTAGAAAGTGACACTATACAAATGTAAATCATACGACAGTATATATTTAGATTAACTCCAGAACATTGCCTTTTCCTGCCACTCAAAAGGATTTGCCTCAAGGAAGGGGAGGAAAAATAAGGCGCTTGCTGAGCAAAGGTTAAAAAGGAAGTTAATTGGGAATCTTATTAACTTGGTATTTGTCTGATATCAAAAGAAACAACATCTTGGGGTCTGGCATTTCTGACAATTGGGAATTCTATAATTAGTTTCTTAACCAGTAGTAGGTATGTGAGCTACTCAAAGTCCTGATGGCAAAACTTGAGAGCACTAATTGTTTTACATTGTCTAATATTCTAGCTATTTTTAGTACCATTTGACATTTAGTGAGAGCTTGAAATCTAATAAAATTTCTTTCAACCAAAGGAATTAAGTAATTCTCAAAAGATGACAATCATGCAGGTTTAGTGTAATAAAGAATTACTTGTTTACTATTGCTGAATTAATTTAGCATCTACCCCATTTTGAAGCTTCCAGCCTCCCTCTTGGAACTCAGGGGATTTCTACACCCTGTATTTCATTGCAGTTTGGCCCTGGTTAGAACACGATGGCATTTTTCAGTGCCCTGATGCACTGGTATCTGAGGCACAAGAGAGGGAAAAAAGAAAATCAAACAGCGCCCTCTAGTGTCCTCTTTTTATTTTTTGCATGAAACCCAAATGTCTATTGAACCACACCAATCAAAATATGATTTCTCCCCCTCCTCGAAACCTTAGATGCAGAGCATTACCAGATTATAGCTTTAGAGAACACATCAAATGCCAAGGATATTTTCTGGGGGAACAGCGTGAGATTTATTTTAATGCACAAAGTACGCATCATTCCAGGAAAATACCAGCTTTTAGCATCCAATGCAAATTTTGCCCTTAATATCTATATCTCCAACGTGTTGACAAAAATAGCTGTCGGGAAAAATTAAGTATCTCTTTAAAACATTGAGAAATAAACAATGTGATCAAGAAAAGCCCATGAAATATTTAGCGGTCTTTCTTTTCCCCCAGCAGAATGTGAAATACTTGCAAATGCATCCAAAGCACAACAGCAATAACTCTGGTCTGACTAATGGAACTCTCTGTTTGTGATGGTTTAATTATGTTTGCTGAAATACGATTCTCATATAAGACAACTCCATGGCAGAGGGACAGGGCTCTGTGTCTATACATAGAAATAAAACACAAAAAGACTCATCATTCCGTGAAGAACTCGGCAAATTCTATTTGCTAAGGAAACAAATGAAGGGAGAGCATTCACTGTACGTTTTGTTGTTTCTGTTTGCATGTAGCCTCTGGGGTAGCCACTGTTTTATCCGTTAGCGTATGACACTGATTGTGAAATAGTTTCAAAACTAAGATGTGCTCTCATTAGATGAAATCACAGTACCTTATGTGCATGTAGCATCTTTCATAACTTTCAGTGCTATCCTACCTATATTTAATATTGTTCAATACTAAATCATGCTGCATTTTGACAGGGAAATTAGAGGAAGGGTGTTAACTCGAAATGGTATTTCACATACACCGGCATAAAGTACTAACTGAAGAAAAAAGCCCCACCCCCCCATGTATGTGTGCTCATGCCTGTAGCTTTTATCTCATAATTTCCAACTGGTCATGAGACAATGAGGATGACAGTAGCCTTTTAAGTCTTTTAGGAACCAAAAACCTAGACACAGAAGTCTGAAATTTTCCCCCTTACTCTTGAATTTCTTCCTGGGATAGTTTAGCAAAATCCACAGATATTACCCTTTTCTAGTTGGGCAAAAATCTATCAAAAGGGAGAACATATTTCATTACTTTAGGTCTTGAAAGTCTTTGCATTGTATCTATCCAGAACTTATGGAAGTTTTTGATTTAAAGACTATATTCACGTAGAAATATGCTATTAATTAGATGTTAAGCAAAGGCAGAAAATATATGGTTCCCAGTATTTTCCTCTGAACTGCCATAAACATTCTTAGTGCAACTGGCTGTCCTGGTCTTTAAACGTATTCTACATATCTACATGGACCATTCAAATCAAAGAGGTACAAGTGTATATTCAATCACGTTGTCCATGAGTCTCTGTGTCCATGACCACAAACTGCTATAAGGAATAGCTGCGTCCACACAAAGGAGGGAGCCTGCTCTCCTGCAGAATCCTGATCAGAAAGCAATTTGGCAAACTAATTCGACAAGGGGAAAATGATTGAACACATAATGTGAAAACGTCTAAGTGTTGTATCGGAATAGTCAAGGCAGAAAATGAAGCGAAGAAGAGCTGTGAGAGTATTCTGAATATTCAGTCAAGGTCAGCAGAGCCCGGAGATGCTCGGCCACTGTAGACTTTATTCCCATCTCCCAAGTGCTGGCATTTTTGAATCATACTTTTAGCCTCGTCCTTCTCATAAACCATGACTTTCGTTAATTAACTTTAAGTGGAATCCAAGGACTGAGTCAAGAGAGGGAGAGAAATCTTAGCCCTGGACCACAGTGAACAATTTACCCAATGACTGCAATCAGTTTAAATGCATGCTATTTAGGCAAATCACCCTGAAAAGCCCAGGCTGCCTAAATCATTGGGAAACACATCATTATACGGATCTAAATATTTTTTATTTTAGGAAAAGCAGTTTCCAACAGTCACAACACATGAGGACCTCATGGTATTTCTAGGCATTATGCTCTAGAAACACAAATTCATCACAAATCAACTCTCCTGGTTGACCTCCAAAGAGGCACCCGTGACTCATAGACACCAAAAAACCTCACAGCGACATCAATGTGAACTGTTTCCACTTCCTCTGCTTTAGAGTTTTCTATACTTTGATGGGAGGATGAAACTATAGAACTTAAAACTGGATGGCGATTTTTAAAATTTCATAATAAAATGTCGTAAGCTGTGTGGGTGAATTTCTAAGTCTTCTACCAAGAAGCATCATTCTGAAGTGCTCTGTTAAAGAAACGACAACAAAAACAACAAAATGCCTTCTCTTTGAGCCTACTCTTAGACATGGGTTCTTTAAATGCCACCCCAAACCATGACCTTGAGTCACTGATCACTGGCAAAGTCTTCCTATGGCTATTTTATTGGTGTAAATAATTGTAAGCGTTTTCACCAATTGCCACGTTATCTATTCCAATCCCATTCTGGGTTTTTCCCTCTCACCAGAAGGGTGTAAATGTACATGGTTGGCATAATCTTTCAGTTTTGTGAAGGTGGGCCAAGAAACATTTCATTCCTGTAGGTAACAAGGCCAAGAAACATTTCATTCTGGTGCGTAACAAAGCGCAGCTGGGGATGGTAGAGAGCACGCAGGGGGCAGGGCTGGTCCTGACTTCCCATGGGAACTGGAGGGAGCCAGACTGAGCAGATGGCATCCAAATATCTTTCCTTTCCAAAAATGTCAAAAAAGGAAAGTTCACTTTAACTACAAAACCCCTAAGTAGACTTTATTAAAAGGTAGGAGAAAATGATCTTAATTGTCTTTCTGAGATATTTGGAAATACTGTACGAAGCAGAACAATGACTCTCTCAGATTTAACGCTGTGAGTAAAAATCGAACGGAGCCCAGAACTGAGAATGAAATGTAAAGACAGGATTACCCTAAGGAAGAAAGTTTGAATTTAATAAAATATTCCTTGTAGACACTAAACTCATGTGAAGAAAAGAACAACGTGTCTTAATACAATTATCTTTGAATAGACTTCACTGATTTTATAAATGAAAAAACTAAACTGATTACCTTGAACAGTAAGTAAATAAATATTAAAGCCAATCCATAAGAGACATAGCAACACCAATAGTTTTCCCCCAGGATGTTGTTAAACTATTTCCTTGGCCATCCCCTTTTGCCCAAGTTCCAGTCATCAGGGGCAGCTAAGGTATCATTAATTTTACAGTTTCTGTGTGTGTGGGGGGGTGTGGGTGTGTATTCAGCAACATAAGGCCTCAGGGTGAGTTGTAAGAAATAATATCATTATGATAAATCTTAAAATTGGCAGTACCTGGCTCTAAGTTTTTCTTCTCCAAAACAAATAAGTACTTAGCAAAAGGTCTATTTAATTTTTCTGGAGTTAGAAGGCACTAGAAATTTATCACGCCACTGGAAAGCAGTATAAAGTTTCCTCAAAAAACTATAAATAAAATAAAATAACTATAAATAGAAGTACCATCCGATCCAGTAATTTCACTTCTAGATATTTACCTGAAGAAAATGAAAACACCAATTTGGAAACATAGATTGTACCCCTATGTTTATTGCAGCAGGATTTACAATCACCAAAATATGGAAGCAGCCCAGTGTCCATCCATAGATGAATGGATAAAGGATATATATATATACACACACACAGTAGGAATATTACTCAGCCATAAAAGGAATGGGATCTTGCCATTTGCAATGACATGGATGGACCCAGAGAGTGTTATGCTAAGTGAAATAAGCCAGACAGAAAAAGACAAATATCATATGATTTCCCTTTTATGTGGAATCCGAAAAACAAAACCAAGGAACAAATAGCAACAATGGCAACAAAGAGAGAAACAGACTCATAAATTCAGAGAAAAAACTGGTGGGTGCCAAAGGGGAGGGTGTGGGGGCATGGGCAAAGTGGGTGAAGGGGGGTTAAGAGGTACAAATTTCCAATTATAAAATAAATAAGTCACAAGGATGAAAAGTGCAGCATGGGGAGTATAGTCAATGACATTGTAATACACTAATGGTAGTGAGCATTTCGTAAGGTATAGAACTTTTGGATTGCCCATGTTGTACACGGGAAACTGATCTAATGTTATATGTCAGCTATACTTCAATGACAAATTTGAATTTTTTAAATCCATTCAATTCCATTTTTTACATTTCCACATTCTCTAAAAACTCTGTGGCTTCTTCCACCAGCTTGTCTGGTTTTGTCACGATAACATCCCAAACCTGAGAGAGAGAAAAGAAATTCTGACATTTTTTTCCTAAGAAAGAAAATCCCTTTCCAACTGATCTCAAGAAAAATGGGACCCACGACTTTCATTAAGCACGTGAAGTAGAGCGCTTGGCAAATCCTGGACAGCAATGTTCTGTGAGGCAAAAGGAAAAAGAAGAAAGACAATTTCCCATCCCTAAATACCAGTTTTTGCTTTACTTTGTTGTTATTGTTCTTCCAGGCAGAATCGATGAACAGAACCAAACTTCTCTTGAAAAGTAACTTAGCAAAGAGCAGGTATGTTGCCCTATTTTTCTTGTACATTCCTCAAAGCTGTGCCTTGGTGGGGAATGTAAACTTAGGAGCCAAACACAAACTGCAGGAATGGTACCGACTTCAAACCCAGGGCGGTTGCTACCTGTGGAATAAAGTGTGAACTCAGAGGAGATTGAGAATCTGGTTGGTCCAGATTTAGAGCCTGCCTGCGGATTTCGAAGGTCCCCTGCAAGGGCAGCCCTCCCACCTGTCTTCTCCCTATGTCATTGTTAGTTTTTGATGACTTGGCATGTCAATCCAGTGCATCTGAACCATGTCAGAGCTTAGAAATAGCTTAAAAAAGGAACCCTGGTTAGTTAGCCTTAAAGTAGGATTATTAGAGTTTTTCAATCAACTGAAGAATTAAGACTTTTTTTTTTTCTAAAAAAGAGAACCACAGTTATTATTTGCTCACCTTAGACGAACCCCGTGGTGAGGACGTTTCATCTATGATTTCCTTTAGTCCTCCTAAGCGATCCCACGAAGTCATTGTTTCGCTATTTTATAGACGAAGGACTGGCGGTCGGAAGAGGTTAAATAACTTTCCCAAAGTCATTTTATCTGATTTCACAGAGGATTTGGTCGAGTTGAAAGAACCATGGTGGGGACCTCGTCTGGGCATCTTAATAAACAAAATGCCAAATACGGCATACTTTACGTTATCCAACAGCACCGTTCATTTGGAGGATAGAGGCTAGCCAAGCCTCTGTTGTCACTGAAGGGTTATCAGATGGATTATCCCATGTCAAAAGAATTTTAGATTTTTATAATAAAATTCATTTCCCACTACAATGCCACCAAAGACGAATTAATTTTACTCACAGCATAATGGTACAGAACACAGATTATAGAGTCATACAGTTTCTGGGTTTGAACCCTACTTTCACCACTTGCTAGCCAGATGCACTTCATTCATTCATTCATTCCTTCATTCATTGATTCATCAAATATTTACCGATGGCCCACTTTGTGCCAGACGTCAGGTCTACAGTTGGTAAATGAGAACAGATATAGTCCTTGCCCTCAATAGAATTTAGAGTTTAGTGGAGAAGAGTCTTGTGAAGAAAACAAAGAGGATGTTTCGAGAAGAAATGGGGGTGGAGTTCTCATTTAGATACAGCGGTCAGGCAGGCCCTTGGAGATGGCCTTGCTTCAGCTGAGATTTGAGAAAAAAGAAGGAAACAAGCAAGGATGAAGGAGGGCACATCCAAGGAGGCATTTCAGACAGAGGCTGGAGCAAAGGCAAGGCCGGGAGACTTGAGTGGCATGTTCACAGAGATGAGAAGGAGCCCGCATGGGCGGGAAGTTCTAGACTGGCATAGCTGGGGCTGGAGAGATAGGCAGGGGTTTGGCAGCCACGAAAAGGCACCTGGATTTTATTTCAAAGGCAAATTATAAGCCACTAGAAGATTATAAGCAGCAGGAGAGTGGTATCATCCAGTTTACTTTTTAAAAATACTTTACTTTGGGGGCGCCTGGGTGGCTCTGTCAGTTGAGCTTGTGACTCTTGATTTCAGCTCAGGTCATGATCTTGGGGTCATGAGATCAAGTCCTGAGTCAGGCTCCACGCTCAGCAGGGAGTGTGCTTGAGATTCTGTCTCTCCCTCTCCCTCTGCCTCTCCCCCGCTTGCACATGCTCTCTCTCTCTCTCTACAATAAATGAATAAATCTTTTTAAAAAATACTTTATTTTTTAGAGTAGTTTTAGGTTCACAGCAAAACTGAGCAGAAGACAGATTTCCCAAATACCCCCTGCCCACACCTTTGCCCAGCCTCCCCACTATCAATATCCCCCACCAGAGTGGTTCATTTGTTACAGTCAATGACCTTAAGTGACACATCATCACCCAGAGTTCATAGTTTACATTAGGATTCACTGTGGGGGTTGTAGATCCGATGGGTTTTGACAAGGTGCAGATTTGAAGCATATAGAATGACATGTACCTGCCACTAGAGTAGCATATAGAAAATCCTCTAATCTTAAAAATCCTCCATGCTCCGCCTATTTATCCCCCCCATTTACGTTTTAAAAACAATTCCAAATACTATATGGAGGATGGATTTGGAGAGAGGAGGAAGCAGGAAGTACAGTGACTACTGTATTTGTGTAGGGCTGGAGTATTGGCAAGAGCCCAAGGACCAAGGATATGAAAAGAAAGGGACAGCTTTGAGCTCTATTTTGGAGGAACAAGCTATGGGACTAGGTCATGTATTGGATTTGAAGATAGGAGAAAGATAGAAATCAAAAATGTTTCTGATTTGTACCACTGGGTGGATGATAATGTCACTTACCGAGATGGAGAAACTTAGTGAGAAATAGTTTCAGGGAGAAATCAAGTGTTCAATTTTGTACATGTTGAGCATGAGATGTCTGTAAGAGATCCAAGTAGAGGTGTCAAGTAGGCAGTAAGAGATATGCCAGGAACTCGTCAGACTAGTCTGGGATGGTGATAAACCAAATATAGGAATCATATACATCTAGATAGCATTTTACGTTGAAGACAGTTGAGAGAGAGAGAGACTAGATGGAGCCTCAATCTCAAGGGGCCTGAGAATCTACAGGATTAACATTGAGAGGTTAGGAAGAGAGGGAGAAATGACTGAAGAGAAACTGAGGAATGGCCAGAAAAAGCCAAGGAGAGCCCAAGAGGAAACGTGACTGTACCCAGGAAAGAGGGTATTTCAAGCAGAACAGAGTCGCCAACTATGTTGAGTACAAGAAGATCTTGGGCAAGTTTTTTAATCTTTCTGAGAACCCATAAATTCTACCAAGTAGGGATAATACCATTGTCCCCTGTGGTTGTTCAGAGTGTTTAGTGAAGTGACAAATCTAAGCCACCTAACATGGGCTTTGTATATAATAAGTGGATAGTAGGGTTTTTTCCAATCTTTATTATTATCTCAATGTCATCAATTAGCCTTGTACGATAGACGTGCCCAAGAGATGCTAGTAGAGAATTGTGTTTAGAAGAATGCCAGTAGGGGCGCCTGGGTGGCTCAGTTGTTAAGCATCTGCTTTTGGCTCAGGTCATGATCCCCAGGGTCCTGGGATCAAGCCCCGCATCGGGCTCCCTGCTCTGCGGGAAGCCTGCTTCTCCCTCTCCCACTCCCCCTGCTTGTGTTCCCTCTCTCGCTGTGTCTCTCTCTGATAAATAAATAAAATCTTAAAAAAAAAAAAAAAATGCCAATAAAACTGGCATTTTACAAGTTCTCTTTCCTTAGTGACATTATCAACTATTAAAAAGGTATAAGAATAAATTTCTTCTTGTAAAACTACTTTTCATTGTCAGCAAGAGAGTATACCATTATTATTTCAAGCCTGTTTTACTTGTTCACCATTCCTTAATACTATTTGGTTGTCCTGTAAAGTCTATGAATGTTTGGGTTTTTTCCCCCCATTAATTTTAGCTGCAACCTGAGGAGGGACCAAATCAGCAAAGTTATTAACATCTTAAAAATACTAGCCCACTTACTGTAAAAGCGTTCATACATAGCTCTTATGGGAATACTCTCTACAGCTGGCTGGTGTTTCTGAATAATGAAGTACTATTTAAAAAGGAAAATTATCAAGCATGTAGGCTTTCCAAAAAGGCATGAGAAATTAAAAGCCATTAAAAACAGTGAAGCATTGATGAAAAGAAAATGAGTAGCTTTCATTTATTAAAAATTATGTAAACACACTCATTTCAGACCCATTATTATTGCACTTGGATATTTTTTTTGCTAAATGTTACCAGCAGGTAGAAATGTAAGATGAAAATCTGCTCTGAACTAGCATTTAAAAATAGAAACTTCTTTTCAAAACTGTCCATCCTCACAAAGTTCTATTAGGACTAGTTGGAATGGTAACAGTATAGTTTAACCTACGAAAATTCAACCAACGAAAACTTAAAGACTAATTAAAATAAATTTTATAGGTTCAGGAAAAGAATCCAAGAGAAACGGGCAAAGGACTGCCCCTCCTGTCACTGTCTAAATTGAACACTTGGAAATCTTCCCCAAGCAGTTGAAAAGATGCATCTCAAACCTTTCAGGATGCAATGGAGACCACTTCATAAGCAAAAATCACAGATAATTCTCCACAAAAGAGCTTCTTAATTTGGTAGAATTTATGTAATGAATATAGAATTGGTAGATAAATACCCATGAGAGAAGAAGCAAAACAGCCACAAAAGACTGTAATATGGATGGGATATCTGACCCCGACTTCTGATTACGGTACCGGGACAATGTAGGAACCGGCTGACCAAGACCCTTCGCTCCCTCCCGCCTACCCATGCCTGCTCTCCGCCACGCTCAGCCATGTTCCTCCCCACCACTCCTCTCTCCCTTTCTTTCCTCTCACTGCCTTCCAACGACTCTTTCAGCAATAAAAGGAATACAGAAATAACCAAAAAATAGCATTATTTAGAAGTAGGTGAGAAGGGTAAGAATATAAAACAGTATGAAAAATTAGATGCTTTTTTGCACATCATAAAATTCTACCTGGGTGCTAAGAGCCACTAATTTGGTTCCAAGCTCCCTAGAAAACAATGCAAACGTCACTCGGTTGAGTGTCTATTGTAAACACACACACACACACACACACACACACACACACACACAAATTGCTTAGAATAACTAGTGAGGTAGGAAAAATAGGTATAATCATTTAGTAAGTCCAACCAATGAGTCACTTCTTCTGTTGAGATCTACATATCCGTGGGAGATACATTTTGTCAACTATGATAGCCGTTTAAACCAAGTATCAAAATAAATTGAACTAAGAACCAGACTGTCAAATTGCCATGGTATAAAGAACAGCATAATTCTTCCCTCTACTAAGAGAAAGAACTTGCTCTTAAGTGCTCTCATAAGAAGAATTAATACATAAAACAGAATTATAACAATAAGAAGCCACCATTTATTGAAAATGCACTCTGTACTAGGCTCCATGATCTGCCCTCTACATATATTATATCATCAATTACATCTTTATTCTAGGTGCTAGCATGAATTCAAAAGGGCCATTCCGTTCTTACAGAGCCCCTCCGTGAAAGTCAGTGGCATCATGTCAAAGTTCCATTCAGGAAAAGCGATTCTGCACAGTCTGGGGACCTAGCTCTGTAAAGATGTGGCTTGACTTGCAAAATTGGGGCCAGTGAGCCACAAGCATCAGAATAGCCCGGGATGTGTATTAAAAATACATGACCCAGGGTCTCTTTCCATACCAACTTAATCAGAATCCTGGAGGTTATGTCCAGGAGACAGCATTTTAAACAGGTGCTCAGGAGAGGCACCTGGGTGGCTCAGTCGGTTGAGTATCTGCTTTTGGCTCAGGTCATGATCTCCAGGTCCTGGGATGGAGCCCCGCATCGGGCTCCCTGCTCAGTGGGGAGTTTACTCCTCCCTCTCCCTCTGCCCTTCCCCCCTCTCATTCTCTCTCTCAAATAAAAATCTTTTTAAAAAATAAATAAACAGGTGCTCAGGAGACTCATGGGCATCTTCAGTCAGAGAAACACTGCCTGTGTTATTTTTTTAAGATTTTTTTTATTTATTTGACACAGAGAGAGAGCGTGAGGGAGCACAAGCAGGGGGAGTGGGAGAGGAAGAA